GGCGTTTAAAAGGGCCGGGCCCTGCCGCTGCCACTGCATTAACGGTGACGTTGGCTGGCAGCCCCAACCCCCTTTAAAGCGCCGGGTCCTGGGGCAACTGTCCCTTTTGCCCCCCCTCCGTCGGCAGGCCTACTCATACCAAAAACAAGGGGTCACACACTTTGGTGCTTCTGTGAGCTATGCTCAGAACAGACTCACATCCCTCCATTTTCTTCTTGTGCCACCCTTCATCCCCCTCTGTTTCAAGGGCCCCGACGCCACCTCCTTCATGCCTGGGTGTCTGCATGTTCCCCGCTCTCTCCGAACACTCGGGGCTCTGGGCGTGTCCCCTCAGTTTTAGGAGCATGCGTACGAAGTAGCGACGCATGTCTAATTTCTAAAGGGTTGAAGTAAATCTCTCTCTGCCTAGGAGATCCGTCATTCAGGGTGTCAATGTTTAAAACTCCATTTGGAGAATGGGCAGAGATGAAATGGGGATATTATGCAGGAAGCTGTTAATGGATGACCTCAACTGATGCTTTGATCCACAGACAATTACTGAGCTCGTTAAAGCCAATAAGGCTGTTCACCTGAAGCCCGGAGTCCCATATTTCTCCTATTTCCCTCTTTGGGGCTTTTCTGATTTTCAGGAAAATCTATAGGTTCTCCCCTTCGATGCCTGGAACATTCCCTGACATTTTGGCATTGGTTGGAGACAGGGTTCGGAAGTTACTGTGCTCCAGACTGACAGGGAAATGCCATCATGTTGAGTGATAGGCTTTGCTTTGCTTGGTCAAACAATGAACAGACCAAACCCCGCCTCCCTCCCCAGGACACCTGACCCAAAACATGCTCAGATTTCATGCTGCCAAACAAAATAACTTGACAGACCAGCACTTGCGAAAGCAAAGCCGTGCCCTGTTTTGCCCTCCTCTCGTGGGAGTGTTACTCAACTGCTGCTCCATATGCCTCATCCTATCCAAGAATAATACCGCGTAGGTGTCAGGATCTCCCCCAGGCCCTGCGAGGAGGAGCAGACCCAACGGGGAGCAAGTTTCTCCAGTGAGGCAGGCCAGACCGGCTGTTTTAATTCGTCTTTCCATCCCGGCCATTCAGAAGAGACATGGTGAGGGAAACCGCATGCTCGGGTCAGCACCCCTCTGCCCGAGGGGAACATAAGAACGGCCTTACTGGGTCAGACCAATGGTCCAGCTAGCTCAGTACACTGTCTTGCAATAGTGGCCAATCACTGGAGCTACAGAAGGAATGAACAGAACAGGCAATCATTAAGTGATCCACTCCTGTGGTCTACTCCTAGCTTCCAGCAAAGAGAGGCTAGGGACGCTCAGAGCATGGGGTTGTATTCCTGTCCATCCTGGCTAATAGCTATGGATGGCCCTATCATCCATGAACATGTCCAGTTCTTTTTTTAACCCTCTTACAGTGTTGGCCTTGACAACATCCCTTGGCAAGGAGTTCCACAGGTTGACTGTGCATTGTATGAAGTACTTCCTTGTGATTGTTTTAAACCTGCTGTCTATTAATATCATTGGGTGACCATTAGATCTTGTGTTATGTGAGGAAGAACATTACTTCCTTTTTCACTTTTTCCAAACCATTCGTGATTTCATAGATTTCACAGCACACAGTCAACCTGTGGAACTCCTTGCTAGAGGATATTGTGAAGACCAGGCCTTTAACAGGGTTCAAAAAAGAACTAGATAAATTCATGGAGGATAGGTCCATCAATGGCTATTAGCCAGAATGAGTAAGAATGTAGCCTCTGTTTGTCAGGGGCTGGAAAAGGATGATGGGGAGGGGGATCACTTGTGATCACAGAGTGAACCTGTTCTGTTCACTCCCTCTGGGGCATCTGGTATTGGCCACTGTCAGAAGACAGGACACTGGGCTAGATGGACCTTTGGTCTGACTGTTATTATGACGTTTCTCACACCCTTTCTTAGTCATCTCTCTTCCAAGCTGAAAAATGCCACTCTTTACTCAGGGAAGCCATCCCATACCCCTAACCATTTTAATGTACCTTCTCTGTCCTTCTTTCCTGAAAGGGGCAACCAGATCGGCATGCAGTGTTCAAGGTGTATGTGTACCATGAATTTATAAAGAAGCAGTCTCTTTGCTGTCTTCTTATCTCTCTTTCCTATCAGTCTGTTAGCTTTTTTGATTGCCACTGAACACGGAGCAGATGTTCTCAGAAGAGTCAGAGGCCTAGGGCATAGGGACCAAACCATGGCGTGGCTGGAGGAAGGCATGGCATGCACACTACAAGGGATCTGAGATCGACCAAAGGGTCATCCTCATGCCCCGGGCACAGAAGGGAAACTGAGGCAGGGAGCGATTCAGCAATGTATCCAGCGTCACACAGGAAGTTTGTGACCAAGCTGGGAATGGAACTGGATCTCGTGAGTCCCAGGCCACGATCTTAACCATATTGCCACCCCTTATCTCAGGGCGGTGCTATCTGGTCGTACCAAAGTCATCTCAAGATGGTTTTACCACAAGCCTGCAGGGGGACGCCTGAGACGGGTGATGGACTCCACAGGCATGGAGTCGCTGGTCCCAATCAGACACTAACTGGCTTCCCGAGCAGTGAGATGCACGACTGTGCTGAGCCACATGCTACACTCTGGAGGGCTGACAGACTTGCAGGGCCCCTGAGCCAGGTGTATGTGTGTGTGGGGGGGGAATGCTCAGTTCTGTGCTCCCAGAAGGGGCGGTACCCAGGTGCAAGGGGCGGGGCTATGGACAGCCAGCCCTCAATGCCACCTGGAACACACTGCGCTGGCCACTTGCCCCTCCCCTGCCAGCCCAGCGAGCCGCCCGCAATACACTGCCCAGGGCTCCAGCGGAGATTTAAAGGGCCGGCTGCTGCTGCCCCAGAGCAACTGTCTCCTAGAAGCTGCTGCTCCAGCTCAGCATGGAGACACCTCAATGGGGTGGCAGAACGAAGCTCACGCTGCCATTGGTCTGGGAATAAACAGACTCAGCTCCCTTCCTCCCCCCCGCGCTAAATTCTGTCCTCCACACCCCCCTGGGCCAGACCCCTCTCCGCAGTAACCCCACTGTGACGAGTGGGACCGTGCCACGGATCAGCATGGCCCCACCTACCGATGGCAGGTGGAACACAAGGAGGGAATGCTTTTGGGGCATCCAAGAGAGCACAACCCAGCACAGCTGCAACCACAGCGCAGACCTCACAGCTTCCTCCCCTGTGCTCTGAAACCAGCAGCCCCGAAATAGCCACAGGCTGAAAAACCTCCCCAGCTACCAGCAGCATTCCTCTCCGAGCGCCTGGGGCTGACTGCATTGTTTGGGCCTGCACCAATGCACCGAGAGTCGGGAATGTCTGCAGACAAGATGGATATTCAGCGTGCAGAGAGCTTCTCTCTTCCCCTACACCTG